ATATCATCTCAATGATATACAAGTATATTCAATTGAATTGAGATATTCGACTTTAATGTCAATATCATAATTATGCAAAACAAACAACAACAAAAAACATACATATACACATGACTAAATATACCAATGCCTGGCTCAAAAGAAATTGTTTCAAACTGAAATGATTTCTAAAATGAACCAACAAATAAAGAAACAAATTGCCACAGCCGAATATCTCAGAAATTGACTGTCTTTTGAAAAAGTACTGACTTATTTATACTGTATGACAAAATGACAAAATGATTGTTTGTTTAACAAACGTAAAACTTCATCATGTATTGAAAACTTGCTAGCAGTCAAAAAATACGATAAACATTAAATATAGTTTTGCAACGTCTGTGAAAATGACAATTTGAAAATTGCAATTTGCTACTTATTGACATGATGACTTTTACAACCATTATATAACCATACAAATGTTTGGTTTTCAATGAATTTTACGGATGGCCCTTGCAGCAGGTAAATTAAAACAAGAGGGCCATGATGGCCCTAGATCGCTCACCTGACTTATCAAACTCATCCAAACAATTACCTAGACAAGCATTCTGACCAAGTCTCATGACAGGTGAGTCAAAAATGTGACCACTACAGTGTTAACAAGGATTATCCATATTTGAGCAGTGCGACCTAGTTTTTTACCCAGGTGACACATATTCAAACTTGACCTAGAAATCATCAAAACAAACTTTCAGACCAATTTCCAGGATACTTGGATCAAAACAGTAGCAACTAGTGTTAACAAATGTTTTCTATTTTCAGCTCCGGTGACCTAGTTTCACGTGCGATTTCGAACTCATCCAAGCAATTACCTAGACAAGCATCCTGACCAAGTTTGATGATAATTGAGTCGAAAATTTGACCACTAGAATGTTAACAAGGTTTTTCCATATTTGGGCGGTGTGACCTAGTTTTTATCCAAGATGACCCATGTTCGATCTTGACTTAGAAATCATCAAAACAAACTTTCAGACCAATTAACATAATATTTGGATCACAACAGTAGCCACTAGAGTGTTAACAAGATTTTTCTATTTTTAGCTCCTGTGACCTAGTTTTTCATCCGAGATTTTTCCCAAGTTCGATTTATTCCCAGCAATGACCTAGACAAGTTTCCTGACCAAGTTTGATGACAATTGAGTCAAAATTGTGACCACTAGAGTGTTAACAAGGTTTTTCTATTTTTTGCTCCTGTGACCTAGTTTTTCATCCGAGATGACCCATGTTCAAACTCATTCAAGCAATTGACTGGACAAGCATTCTGACCAAGTTTGATGATGATTGGTTCAAAAATGTGACCACTAGAGTGTTCACAAGGTTTTTCTATTATAGCTCCTGTGAACCTACTTTTTCATCCGAGATGACCCATGTTCAAACTCATTCAAGCTATCAACTAGATAAGCATCCTGACCAAGTTTGATGATGATTGATGCAAAAATGTGACCGCTAGAGTGTTAACAAGGTTTTTTCTATTTATAGCTCCGGTGACCTAGTTTTTCATCCGAGATGACCCATATTCGAAATTATCCGAGCTATTATCTAAACAAGCATCCTGACAAAGTTTGATGATGATTGGGTCAAAAATGTGACCGCTAGAGTGTTCACAAGGTTTTTCTATTTTTAGCTCCTGTGACCTAGTTTTTCATCAGAGATGACCCATGTTTGAACTCATTCAAGCAATTGACTGGACAAGCATTCTGACCAAGTTTGATGATGATTGGTTCAAAAATGTGACCACTAGAGTGTTCACAAGGTTTTTCTATTTATAGCTCCTGTGACCTACTTTTTCATCCGAGATGACCCATGTTCGAACTCATTTGAGCTATCACCTAGACAAACATCCTGACCAAGTTTGATGATGATTGAGGCAAAAATGCGACCGCTAGAGTGTTCACAAGCAATTGTGGACGTACGACGTACGACGGACAACGGACGACGGACATTCACCAATCCTAAAAGCTCACCCTGAGCAAGCTCAGGTGAGCTAAAAATAAATACAGATCAACAATTAGAATCAACAGAAACAAAAGACAACACGATTATAATTAATTTTCTTTCCTTATACATATAATCATGAATGGCCTTACATTAATTTTCATTTATTCCACCAAGAACAAGAAAAAATAAAACGACAAATCAATGTCTTACAAAAAAATCGTTTTGTGTATAAAGATATAATATGTCCATCAGTTAGATGAAATACTGTTATTGCAATTATTAGTTAAATCCAAGGAACTCTTACTGAATATATCTCATTGAAAAAAGAAAATGCACATAGTATGTTTGGGAAACTGCATTTACTAGTTATCAAATAAATTTTGTTCTTTCAAAAAAATGCCAGTATTTTTAATGAAACGTTGTAATTATACCGTGTTTACAGATAACGTGTTAAATTCAATACATAACCTAAATCAATATTTAAATATATTCAGTAACTAAAAAGGATAATATAAAACAACTTGTTTAAACACGGTTTCAATATATATATAACACATGTATGAAACACTGATAAAAATGACTCGTTATACTTGAACGATATCACTTTTACGCAAAATATATTTAATATTTGTTACAATCGTAACTCATTTCACTAGCTTCTTGAGATGGTTGTTTTGTCTTTAATTGATTTCTTTTTTTTTATTTTTAAAATGTAGTATAACTTTTGTACACATGATTATATTGAAATGTTTTATGTTGATATGTATGGATGAGACTCAAATAAAGAATAGATGGTATAATTCGTCAAATCCCATAAAGAATTTCGGAATAAATAGTGTAGTGAAATGAGTTACATGCAATATGAATACAAAGGACAAAGGTTATGAACATTAGCATGGCACATGTAAATATTTTTAACATCATAATAAGATAATGTATGCATAACTATAACTATGTTAATCCTTTAAATGCATCATAATATGATAATAATCAATAAAAAACACAAAGCAAAACACAATCAATAAAGCACATATATGATCAATAAATAATTGGAAAAAGATCATCATAATAAACAAAGCTTTGAGTTCATTAAGGAAACTCCACTGACGAAAAAGCCTAAAAACATAACACTTTAATTTCTTACATAGATCAGCTGGGGCACTACAGAAAATAAGATATGCCAAGAAAATAAAGAAACATACTCGAAAATTGTATGTTTATGCTATTCTTAGTCTGATTTAACGTAACGGTAATATATTAAAGGAAGTGAAGGAACATAAAGAAATAGGATTTCTTTTTACATAGTTCTTCACTCGCCCAAAATGTATATTAATATTACCTTTGGTACTTCACTTATAAAAAAAAAACATCAGCCAAAGTATATTATTTATTTAGATTTTAAAAGATGAAAAAGAAACTAGATACTTAAAAATTGATAAACGATATAATAACGACTTATGCAGAGGTTTATTATGTTTTAAATGTATCAAGTGATATTCACTCTGAGTATGTATAAAATAACAAGTAAGTAATGCAATGAAATAGTATTATAAAAAGCATTACTATCAAATTAACAACACAAGTTTTTTTTATCAAACAAATAAAGTTTCATGTCTCCAAATTAGCCAAAATATTTCAAGAAAATTGAACTTGAGATAAATGATAATAAAAATTAGAAGATTCAAGATTCACGTACTTTTATACATATAATTTGGGTGTAAAGACCGATTTGCAGTATTTATCAAGATACATCAGTTGAGTGACTAACGCTTTTCTTTCTTATCTCTTATCTTCTTGACCTCTTTTATGGTAAATTTCGCGGACCGTAAGTGCTACGGGCAATGTGTAAATAATGCCTTTGTTTTCTTTAAATAATCTTCAAAACAATTGCACGAATCTGGAGGCATGTTACTTTAACAATTTATATATGTCCACTTTCACAGCTTTATATTTGTTTAAAAATTCACACAAAATCATTATTAAAAGCACGTCATGATAAAAACAACCTTAAACAAGTTGCTTTGAGATATATTACAAAAGACATTGATAATTGCTAAAACACACAAATATGGTACCTAGTCCAACAAGCAACAGTCTTATTTTATAAAGGTACTGCTGGAATGATTTTCAACACACAAACTGTTATATTTATTAAAATATTTAACATTTCCGTAAAAAGTAAGATACAAACATGATGGGTATTTACCCAATATTGTTCGAGTTCTATTACAACAAACGTATTTTACTTTTTGTTGTCTAATGTTTAGTCACGTGAATAATTTTAAGGCAAGGAAAACCCCGTTATTCGTGCAGCTGCTATTTAACACACATGATAATAAGCTAAACTTTCTTTCTACATTTTCATAACAACAAAACATCAACATATTTAAGATGTTGTAAAGTTATTGATCAATACAAGAGAAATATATAAATGTTCTTAAGTACTAATCATCAAGTAAATCAAAAAATAATAAGTAAGTTATTAGATATGATATATTTATCTCTCATCAATTTGTTCTGAGGTTAACATTTTACACAAAAAGAAACGAAAGTGAAAGGGAAAATGATATTATGATTGAGAAGCTATTTAAGATGTTCGCATATTAGTTACAAACATTTTGTAATAATAGGAAATAGAAGTGTTTTGTTATTTCTATAATTCATAAGATAAGAACGTTTAAACATTCTCCAACCTAATTAAGTTCTTGGAGATACATCCTTGTGTGTTGATGTTCGTTCTATTGAAAAGTTTATTGTAGTGATAACATTTGAATAATGTATTTTCAACAAAGCCAACAATGTTGCAAATAATTAGCTAGATACACAAAGAACGTTCCTTTCATCCAAGTCACATATCGTTTCAATTGCTGTTAATTGGCTTAGTTCTTTCGCACAACTAAGTAGGCATTTGCAAACATTACACATGTATTATAATAATATCATCATTATTATATTGTATCAAATTTCCAACGACATCACCATATTCTGGTTAAAACGTTAAGTTTCAACAAAGTCTTTTATACTAATTTTTTTTCAATATACTTTTTAATAGTCCAATAAGAAGCAGGATGACTTTAAGCTTATCTGAGTAAGTACGTCATTGCCATATTCTGTCTTTTAGTTCTCGTATACAGTATCTTCAATAAAAAAATATATATTAAAAGAATAGGAAACTGACAAATAATCTGAAAACATAAAAATTATAACAAAAACATATCCATCAGTTTAATTAAAAACATGGAACATCGAAATGAATATCCCATATGTGAATATTATTTGTAAATATCACATACGTGATTATTATTTGTTTAATATCATCAGTTCAAGACATTCTCTGGCGAAATATCTTGTAAATAAGTTTGATAAGAACTATCGTATATACATACATTCGGCCAGTTAATATCATAATATGTCTTTGACACTAGTCGAGGCAAAATAATATATTCTTACTTGTATTCTGTAATAATCGATGCTATATTTTGGATTCTATTTCCTCCACGATGTTCCGCACTTCATCCCAGTCAACATATTTTTCAATAGATGATTTCATGGCTTGTATAAGTGTATTGAAGGTGGCATTGTCTTCCTTCTGAGCAGACCATTTTTGAAGCATCTTAAATATCATTCTAACTGTTGATTTGTTGTCCATTTCTATGTGTTCTAGTTGTACGTCGTGTAAACCAAGTTCATGACCAAGCACTTGCCAATTTTCTGCTACGGTTTTAGATAGTTTGCTGATGTATTTCTCTTCTAAGACATAATCAGTTTTTAATCTTATGTTCTGGTAGTCTTGATACCATTCATAAAGAGCTTGCCGTGTACATATTGTATGGCCACTCAAACCGTCTGGACAAGGTTCAACCGTTGTTTCTTTAAGTTCTTCCATTGACACAGTTTGTCGACTTCCATCAAAGCCGTGACTTTGGTCGTTGCATTTAAAACAAATCTCAAAAGGGTTTCTTTGCTTTATTGCTGCATGCCTGTGTTTTCGAAATTCGTTTTTGACGTTTGAAACCACAAATCGTCGAAACAAGTCGACTATAGCAACATTAACACCAGAATTACAAAGGTTCTGGACACGTAATTCAATGAAACCTTGGTAAAGTTCAATTATTCCGACATGCTGACGGTCAAGTTTGAATACACCGAGATTTTCATACAGCAACACCTGCTTCTCTTGTTCGGGAATTTTAATTGAGGCAATCTCCCATTTTCCAATCAAAGCTGCAACGACCCGATAAAACACTATTTGCACAACCGGAGAGATATTAAATGACATTACAAACTTCAGCAAAGTCTGTTGTCTTCCAGTGACGAATTCTTTTAGAGCATCATTAGCTCTGTATGAGCGGAGAAAGCATGGAACAACATACCACCCAAGTCCTTTAGTCTCCTCTGTTTTGTCGTCATAGCTCAACGCTTCGGAAATGATATAATGTCTTTGCAACACCATCAGCAGCACGTCTTTGTGTTCCAGAAAGTTGTTTTTCGCATCGGTACCCCAAATTGTTTCAAGCAATTGCATGTTTAACTTTGCTTCCTGTCTAAGAGTCTTCCAAAGATGACGATATGCTGGCTCTTTTTTGCAAAATGTCTCTGAAGTAATTATACATTTAAATGCGTCAATGACATACTGCGTGTCCAAAGCAACGTATGCTGATAGTGGCTCTTCGTCAAAGTAAATTAAGTTTCCTTTTGCATGTTGATAGAGGAGAAATACTTTTATTTGTTCTTTGTCTTTCAGCGGAAACTCGTTTTTGTCATCAATTTCCACGACTTCGCTATACATAATTATCTTTTTATGCTTTTTGGCAAGCAATTCTTTTTCAAGAGGTAGCCACCTTACAGGAATAAGGTGCCCTTGTTAATTAGAACCAAGACGTATAATTTCTTTACGCAGTTCAACAATACTACTGTCGCAAGGATTGGTGCAATCGACAGCAAAATCCTCTTTCTGGATGTGATTGATAATCAGCGTATCCTCAAAAAGCTTCCTTATTTCCTCAAAATAATCGTATGCAAATTTCTGTCTCATCTTTTCATCGCCTTTAAGTAAGTCTTTATGAGTACCTACGAGAATTACTGGAGGTTGTGAGCCATCGTCGGATCCCACGTAAGTATGTATGGATCTCATCCAGTATTCTGCAAACTGCTGCTTGCTTTTTCCTACAGTTTCATTTTGAAATTCAGGATCCTGTATAACAGCTGATAACGGTTCGGTTAAATCAAAAACCATGAGATAAACAGAAGTCTTGCTGTGAAATAAGGTATGTGTTGCATAAAAGATAAACTGACCTCCAAAATCCCAGAACTGTATGTCTCCATCATCAGCATTAAACGGGTCACATTGATTTGATCTGAGCAGCTTAGAAACTTCAAGATAGTCTCTTGATTTAATAGAGCTCTTTCCAATATGTGCCTTGACTCCTGCCTTTCTGACGTTTCCTTGCGAGTTTGCACTTTCTTCTTTTAATTTGTTAAATTTAGGATTGTCTGTATTTTGATTTGATTTCTTCCCCTCTTTTCCAATCTGTATCATTGAAGCAATACGTCTGTGGTATTCATTGTCATCCAATATAGATCTCTTTGGACAAAACTTGACTCCTTCGTGAGCACTTGAATATTTACAGCTACTTATTTCAATACTATTGGTGCTCTGAACGCTTTCCGATACTTTACCAACAAGAATATTGGTCAATGATGTCTTGCCTTGTGCAAAATTACCAACAACATTTACTCGAACCGAGTTATCATTTTCTTCACCTTCAGATAAAGCTTTTTGGTAGATTTCATAATTCAGTACATCAGAACCGAACATATCATTTCTCTGTGAAGTAATAACATAACTGAATAACTTGGCAAATTACATGTATAACCTCTATTGGGTAAATACGCAATAAATGATTCTTTATCAACAAGAAGTTTGGTTAATTATATTTTATTGTGGGTACAAATGGCCAACAACAATTACTAAAATGGTTCTATCTCTATTGCACCTTTGGATAAAACTTTATGGTACATTTCATAATTAAGTACATCACTACCGAAAGCATCAACATGCTGTTAAGTAATGATACAATTGTATAACATTGCAAATCAAGTATTATCGTCTTTTGAGTAACTGAGCAAGAAATGATTATTCAAAAAGATAAGTATGCCTACAGAAGTAAGTACTTGCAATATATGCATTACATATAAAAATATAAGAAATATTCAAGATTGCACAGTATCACTATACGTTTGGCAACATAAAACAAGGTTTCAACAAATGAAAGAAATATGACCCACCGCTCATAAAGACACATTTCAAGTCATGTCATTTCAAACAAATTACACAAGGCCGTGCTAGAATTTTGATTTTATGTTAAATCAAACACATCAAATATTGCACAATTAAAATCTTATAATCTTGCACAAAATATAGTTACGACTTTTTTATTCTCTCGAATAGTCAAACTCATTTAAAGATCTAGGTCTTTATCAAATTTTTCAACATGTCGGTAATGGCATATTTAAATATTTCTTATGTCCGTTATACCATAAGTGTTATTTTGTTTAAGAATGAATCAATGTTGATTTGAAAATCGACTTAGTTTTTTTTTATTTTAAGCAATTTACATCAGAAATAAACCTTAGCAGACAAAGTAATTTTAAAATCAAGAACATAATTGTTTCATTTTTTTAAATTATTGTATTGGCATAATTATTTCTTTGTTCAAACATGAACCAAATCCGTAAAAAATATGTGTTTGGATATAAATACATTATACATTTTATAATTAATTCATAACATTAAAAATAATCATGACTAGACTCACGTGGAAGTAAATAGTTGATTATTCACATAATCCACACCTTTGACCATTGCAATTGAATAATTTAACTTCTTTTTAGTAATTAAATTTGAAACAAACAAAACTTCTCATGTTAAACGACATTCGTATCCATAATTTGGATATCTGTAAAGAAAACGCCTTATTTCGATGAATAAATGATAAGAAAACATGTTTATAGTATTAAAGATCACGGTGGTTTGCCAAAATAACTTTTTTACGATTAATTTTGCGACCTCTTGCGTCTATTCAAGTAGGCACTGGCTTCTTTGAATTATACGCATGCATAAATCATGAACGAGGAAGACACATATAATAAAAGTTTCAAATGTGTATAAGTTATGGAAACGTTGCGCTTATCAGAACATTGTATTTATTCATGTTCAATACTTTTACTTGTCCCGTTGATATAAGTCTGAATTTAATGAACTATAAAGAACTTTTAATAAAAAAGGCAAGCATTAATTCTAAGTGCTTGCAATCTGTGAAATACAAGCGCTGTTTTTATGATAAAAGTAATGATTAAATATATATTTGCCATGGCTACACAAATACATAAATATACATCTGTCAACGCTCGACGTTTTTATTTATTTTTAATGGCAGACAAATAGAAGATTTAAACAAAAATTTTAAAAGAAATTATAGAAAAATTAAAACGCTATTTTAGGTTCATTGTTACATTCAAAACTGTGCACATGATCCAAATTTCATAGTTATTCATCAACGGAAGAGAAAGTAGGACACTTCGTGTTAAATTTGGGTTAAACTTCGTGTTAAATTTTAGCTCTGAAAGCCATTTCATCAAACAATTCTTCCTGGCACTAAGTAAGAGGTGGGCTTATAAAATATGAGAAAGAAAACAAATATTGGCCTAGTTGGGGACCTCGCCATCGATTCCCTGGGGCGGGGCAAATTTTTACCCCAGGGATTTTATTTCAATAAACATGGTAGACATGCCTTGGAACATGTTTTATACTAAACATCTAAGCTCTACCTGTTTTGAATTTTACCAAGAAGATTCTTTTTTAAAATATAACTATATAACTATACAAATAAGAAAAATCAATGTCCCCTGCGGCGGGTCTAATTTTGACCCTAGGGCTTTCATTTGAACACACTTGGTAGACAAGCGATAAATATGTTTTATGACAAATAACTACGTTCTAGCCCTTTTTGGTTTTTACAAGAAGATATTTTAATATTTTTGTTAAATAAATCTTTCGGTTGCCATGGCAACCAGATTTCTTTATGAAATTTTAATCTTTGAACAACTTTGGTAGAGCTTTATGCAAGGGACATCCCTGCAAAGTTTCAATAAATTTTCCCATGTGATTTATGAGTAGAAGTTGTTTAAAGAAATTGTTGACGCACGGACGGAATCACGGACGATGGACGACGGGCAATATGGACCATAACAAAAGCTCACCTTGAGGACCTTGTCCTCAGGTGAGCTAAAAAGACTTTCTCGCCGATTTTAATGATATCTGGATCGAAGCAGTAACATCTAGAGTATTAACAAGGTATTTCCATATTTGAGTGTTTGACCTAGTCGTTTACCTCAGGTGACCTGTATTAGAATCTTACATAGATATTATGACAACAACCTCTCTAACCAAGCATATTTAGATAAATAAGTAGCCGCTAGAGTGTTAACAAGGTTTTCTTATTCTTCAAGTGTCTGACTTAGTTTTGATTCAAATGAACAAATTCGAACATGACCCAGAGATCATCATAACAACCTTTTTGCCAATTTGGTTGGACTGGAACAATAGCACCTTGAGTTTTTACCAGGTTTTTTTCGTACCTTGGGCTGTGTGACCTTTGTTTGGATCCAGGTGACCCATATTCAAACTTGACCAAGAAATCATCAAAACAAGTTTCCTAACAAATTTCTCGGCTTTTCGGATCAAACAGTACCAGAGTTGCATCAGTAGTAAGGGTATAGTACAATACTTGCCAAGTTATGCCGTATCATCAGCAGTACTAATACAGGATTTGAGCTCGGTACTGCAGTACCGTACTGCAGTACCAATAACTTTTTTTCCGGGGGGTGGGGGAGTAATTAGGTATCAGTACCATTACTTTTATATATTCACCAAAGTTTGAATAAATGCCGTGATAAACAAAATTTGCAATTATTATTCAGCAAAGAAATAATATCAATATTTACTTAAAGTTATCATCTAATTTTTACAACTTTAAAGATTAAACATACTTTTTTTACACACAATATTTACAATATATATTCATGTCACATCTTATTGGCTGGTAACCAATCAACTTTCATTTAAAACACAACAATCTTTGGTTGCCGTTCACACCTTCAAACCTCTGTTTAATTTATACCAAAGCAAATAAGAACTTTTAATTGTGCTAACAATATCATTTGAAATAGGATTATATTAGAATAGAAGCAATTAATAAGTGTTTATTTTGCTCTGGTTTACTAGTAAATACAAAGGGATTAAATATTATCATTTAGGTAATTTTAGGTAAAGTGTTATTGATTCTGTTCTATCTCAATTTATTTGTTTTGCTTCAAGATTTTTTTGTGCTTCTTTTTATGATGAATACTATGTTAACATTTGAAGGAATATTGCAGGAATTTATCTATGAAATTTGATAACTTACTTTTTCACAAAAATAAAGTAAAACATGGAATTTACAGCTTTACTTTATGAGAAAAAAATGATGACATTTTTATCAAAACCAAAAGTACTGCCTTCTATTGCAATAAAAATATCACTTTCTAAGACAGTAATGCAGTACCAGTAGTAGCAACTTTTTTATAATAATTCAGTATCTGTACCTGTACTTGCAAAATATCTGCAGTACGTACTGATGTACCAGTACCAGTAACATTAAGACAGCTCTGAACAGTACCAACTGGACTGTTAACAATCTTTTTCGATTTTTAGCTCATGTGACCTAGTGTTTCATTAGCCATGAGTCCCTATGTTCGAGCAATTACTTAGCTAAACATCCTGACCAAGATTTCATGACGGAAATTCGTCAATCCTTAAAGTTTTCCTTGAGTTAGCTTTGGTGAGCTAAAAAGTAATCTCACAGGGTTTTATATGTAAGTGCACAATGCAAGCATCTGACGTACGCCGAGCAGAGCGACCAGGGATGCGTACTAGAATATAACGTTTTTAAGTCTTTATAGATTAAACTCCCTTTGGAATTTTGCAAACACATTTTGGCCAAGTGATATTCATTTCCAGGATGATAGATCGGCAAAGAATCATCTGACTTCACAGAAGGCTATAAAGCAAAACTTTTACGTGAGCGTAATAAAACATTTCAAACAGGACAGGTCATATAAGATTTGATGAATCAGATTAAAACAATATCACATATGAACAACATACGTGTTATAGATTGAAAGATTAATGGATCACATAACATACAAGATTATTATAATAATTTTAATGATACGCCATTTCAAAACTAGATTACTTTTGATCTGACAGAGAATAGTGTATTGCTGTTCTATTTGATGACTGCTGGCATGTTTTGCGTAAAGAATTACCTCTTTTGGTACCTTAAGTGTTCATTTATAAACCATGTAGTACTTGATTATTGCAACTTTAAGACCAACCGAAAACACAGTTACTAAATCATTAGTTCATTTAACTTTGGTTTAAACTTAACATGCTTTTTAATATGATATCAGAATGTTCTATATGCGAACGTTTTGTATTGTGTACTGAAGCGGAGCGAGGTATTATGTCAACGTACTATTGCTAGTGATTAATAAAACATGTCGTCGATTTTTTGTTGTTGTTGTTGTTGTATGTTTTGTCTTTTTTTGACGTTGAGAACTGTAGTTAAGAGATTGACTCACATGTCTTTATTTTGATTACAAAAATCATCTTGGCATTATTATCAATTAATAGTACAAAATCTTTTATTTTACCGTGTCAGAGTGTGATGATTATGAATACTCCTAGTTTCTCCAGTTAAATATTTGTTTATATCACATTGTTTATTTTGACGCATTGTCTTATTATACTTGTCATTTTGTTGATAAAATTGTATTGAAATAATAATATTGAAGGTTTACATAATGTAATATATATTTTATTGAATTATGTGTAGTTGAAGAGCTAGCATGAAGCCCTACATCCTGATGAGATTTTTCACCTGACAAATTGTAACATAAGATTTAATTGTGTTGCATTTTAATGTCACTGTTGATGTATTGTCCTTATTGTTTGACCTATACATCTATGATACATAATGTAGCGACACTGTCATGAAGGTCTTATATGATTTGAATAAATGCATGCTTTGTCATCTAGAGAATATAGACAGTAGTTGTTGCTCTTAGGTTTTGTTCCACAACTGAAGTTATAATCTTATTATTATAATTTATGGAACTGAAATAATAATAAAGTGTTGTATTTTGCAACATAAAATTATCCAACCATGTTATATCAAATTAATTGTTTCCACACTTAATTAAAACATATAGGTATACTGGTTCTTGTTTTTATTATGCAGACTGGATATAGTTATATTTCAAATACGTTTGAATTTTCGCAAACACACCTGTATCTTACCATAGCCGTTAAATAGTCAAATGTCACGTATCATATAAGTATATATTTCAGTTTCTTATAGATTATCTATGAAAGGTAAATATTTAGATGAGGTATATTATATATTCAAAATATTAATATGTTATTAATAGGTTGTTATTTTGTGAAATTGTCGTTTAAATGAAATTAAATTATTTTCTTTTTATTAATAAAATAAGTACAATCAAAGGGACAAAATATTGATAGATACATCATGTATGTATACAATCAGGTTTCTACTTAACTTGATCTTTGCTTTTAGGAAAAAGGTGCATCGTCACTGCTTTTCACTCTGTTAAAGCAAATGTTTTCCAGTATATAATAAATCGTTTGTGATAATTATA